GTTCGATTCCGGGCAAGGGCATGTACCTTGGTTGTGGGCACATCCCCGGTAGGGGGTGTGCAAGAGGCAGCTGATCGATGTTTCTCTCTCATCGATGTTTCTAATTATCCCTCTTTCTCTCTGTAAAAAAAAGTCAATAAAATATATTTAAAAGAAAGAAAAGAAAAAATACCTAGGGGGTCCCTCTGGATGGGAGTGGAAGAAGGAAAGTCTAAGGCATAGCAGGATAGGCATTATTAGGTTTTTAAGCTGTTGCTTTAAAAAAGCTAACACTTTCTTAAGGTATAATCATTGAATCAAGTCAATCTGCCTTCAAAGCGCATGCTGTTTCTATGTGCAATAACTCACTGCCTCTCATTGGGAGTGGGTTTGGGACATTTGCTAAGTAGAGATGAGAATTCTTGGTGTCATCTCTAGTTACATGTTATAGTTTCTCCAAAAAAGCACCTGGATGGTGTATCACAGCATCTGGTTGGATCGTTCACATTTTCAATGCTGAACTATGATTCAGAATATAACTTTACTCTTCCTTAAAATAATTGCAGTGCTGCCACAATAAATAGGTCACGAAGTAAGAGAATTCAATAAATAAAGCTCCCCTTCAGGCTTCCAATCCTTAGATTTGGAAGTGACTAAAGCCTTAACTTATTTCAAGTATAGAAATCCCCTCCTCTCTATCTTAGACTATTGTCATCCAGTCTCTGCTTGAAGCCAGTGGAGAGCTCATGACTGAGCAAATCAGGTCCCAACTCCACCTCAGTCAAGATTAATAGTGGCTTGCTGGCCTGTGTGCTCAGGTTAAGCATCCTTGCCCCATGAACCAGGAGATTATGGTTCCATTCCCGTTCAGGGCACCTTCCCGGAATACCCAGGTTGTGGGCTTGATCCCCAAAGTTGGGGGTGGGGAAGGCATGTGGATGCTGCCAATCAATGTTTCTCATCGATGTTTCTATCTTTCCCTCTCTCTAAAATCAATAATAATAAAATATATATATATTTAAAAGAGAAGATTAAGAGAGGCTAGGTCAGATAAAATGACAAAACCCCTAATTTTCAGTAGTTAAATCAACAAAGGGTTGTTTTCTAGTCAAAGACTCCAAGTCCCTCACACAATAGACTGACTGTTGTCATTCTCAGATGGGGACCCTCCCACTGAGAATGGATCCACTCTGGAGAATTTGCAGGTGCTGGGCACTGGGCAAAAGGATGGCAAAGCTTACTCTGGTCTTAAAGTCTCCACCAAAAAATGATGTATTTCATTACACTTCACTGGCCAAAACAAGTCACCTGAGCAAGTCTGATTTCAAGAAGGAAGGGAGGGCCCAGCTGGCATGGCTCAGAAGTTGAATGACGACTCATGAACCAGGAGATCACAGTTTGATTCCCAGTCAGAGCATATGCCTGGATTGCGGGCTTGATCCCCAGTGTGGGACATGCAGGAAGCGATCAATAACTCTTTCTCCTCATTGATGTTTCTCTCTCTCTGTCCCTCTCCCTTCCTCTCTGAAATTAATTTTAAAAATATTTTTTAAACAAAGGGAGGGGCAGCCAATCTTGATGAAGAGTAGTACAGAATGCGACAGATCTCCCATCATCTGGTATCATCTACTTCTTTCAGACTTCTTCCTGCTGTGTGGAACCAAATCTCCCTACCTGTTAGCTCAGACTCCTCACTGTACTCCAAACAATCTGAATTTTTCTCCATGTATTAACTTTCCCCTGTGACATTTCCTTCCATTTAGTTTATCACTATTTATTTGAACACCTACTATATGCAATGTGGGCAATGTGCTGTGGATAATGTAAAATTTGAGTTTTTATTTAAACCTTACCCTGCAAGACTCTTTTTCCCATTAATCCTTTCTTGACTACATCAGCCAATACCAAACAGTTTACATTCCTTTACCATAACATATGCAACTGCCCACCTATTTAAGATACAAGTGCTGCTCTATATAGCATTCTGTTATGTGTTTTTTTGGTTGAATGTTTTGCTTTCCTGATCTGACTGGATATATAAACTCAAGAGTAAGAGCATTTTTTTTTAAACTTCCCCATGACCTCCAAAACCTTGCAAAAGACTAGGCATAGAAGCATTTAGACTTTAAGTGCTTAAGCAGAAGTAAGTGACTCAAACTTCAGGAAGTAGCTGCGAGGACACGGTGGCAGGAAATGACAGAGAACCTGAACAAGGAACTGAAGCAGCAGCTCATTTTCTTGCTCTGAAGAGGCAACAGCCAGAGAGGAAGCCAAGTGTGGACTGAGGAGCTGGGAGCCCCGAGCAGTGCTCACACTGTTGAAGGTGGGTCCTCTGAGCAGTGGGAAACTAAGGGAGCATGGGGCAAGGGCTGAGGTGAGAGGAGCTACCTGGCTCTTGGTCCTTCTGAGAGAGAGAAAGTCACTGCCAGTAAGCTTTTCACCTTTTATGGCCAGAAGGCCTGGGTGGGAGTGGTTGTGGATAATGAGCATCTGGGGAAAGAAACAGAAGTGGTGTCCTGGAAACCAGGGAACATGATTCAAAACCATCATTCCAAGACCCCTGGTTGACAGTTTACAGCCCTCTCTTAAAGCCGGTTGCTCTGAGGCACTGAGTGGGAGGAGGACCACAGGATGTGAAGACAAAAAGTCTCTGCTCTCGAACAGCCTATGATTTATCAGGGAGCCACAATCCACATAAAGGGCATTATAACAGATCAGAAAGTAGATGCTCATGTACACCAGTGCTGAGAACCAGGTGCTGATGGAGGTAGATGGCATGATGGTGTGAATAGGGCTAGCTTCTGTGACTGCATGATCACAATGCCAGAGATGAAGGGGACTTGATAGATTAGCTAGGTTAACCTCTTTGCTTATTTTTTCATTAGGGAAAAGTGAGCCTCTAAGACATTCAATGATTTACGAAATTGTTGAAGTTAATTTTTGTAAATTCCTACCCTGATACCTGGTGGATAAGTACATACTCTGTGTTGATTCCCCTGCCCATGTTCCTACAGGGGCTTAGTAGCAGAGCGGGGTGATCTTCTGACTCCCTGTCCATCTACTTTACTGATGCTAAAAGGCAGCCAATGATGAGACCCTAAACCAATGGTTCTCAACCTTCCTAATGCTGCAATCTTTTAATATAGTTGGGGGTCACCTCTTGTTTTGGTGACCCCCAACCATAAAATTGTTTTCATTGCTAATTCATAAGTGTAATTTTGCTACTGTTATGAATCATAATGCAAATATCTATATTTTCTAGTGGTCTCAGGCGACCCCTGTGAGATGGTCGTTTGACCCTTTAAAGGGGTCATGACCCACAGGTTGAGAACCGCTGCCCTAGATGAAACTTGAAGTTCTGAGCACCATGTCTCACCAAGTTACTCTCCGGTTTCCCACTTCTAGATAGTATGTCTGGGTGTCCCTATTGCTGGCCAGTAGCTCAAAGATATTCAGTTGTCTCTGTATCAGAAACTTTATTTTAAAAATACATGATGAAGGGAGATTTAGGGGAAAGTCAGGCCGAGGCCTCAGAGGAAGAGCAGGAAAGAACAGGACCACCAGTTTTCATCTCTTCCTTATCACTCACAAATATTTCAGAAATGTCTCCTTTCCAGTTGTTTGTGTGTGTGTCTGTGTGTGTGTGTGTGTGTGTGTGTGTGTGTGTGTGTGTGTGTGTGAAGTTCTTTTGTTGCAGAGCAGCCCGGGAGCCAGGACCTAGGTCTTATGTTCCTGCCTTCCGCCCCCATCCATAACCGTTGCCCCACAGGGGAAGATGGAGCTGGTCTCAACAATGACTCATCCCACAGTATGCTGACTTAGTCAATACTTCTCCAGTGTCTTCTTTGCATCTCTAACCAATCTGCCACAAACTTTCCTTGGGCTGGCTGCTGAGGCATTTTTCAAAGATCAGGAGTTTTCAAGGGGAAAGAGAAACCAGAGAGTCTGAAAGCCCCGACAAAGGCACTGCAGAGTCCTAGGAGTGTTGTAAGAGGGACTCCTTTAAGAAACAGTGAAGAGCATGGGGAAAGACACCAGTGGGATCAAGAGTCTGAGCAGGGAAGGATGGACAGGGGTCACCAGCCAGCAAATGGTATCAGGGTTAAGAAGTCTCAGCAGCCGTCAGAGCAGGTGAGCATTGCCTGTTTCCTCTTTCCACCAAGATCCAGAGCAACTGTGCAGCTCCTCTTCGCGCACAATTGGCAGGGCCAGTGGAAACACCGAGGATGCCCAGCAGAATAACAATTTGGCACCCCTTCAAACTGGTGTTCTCTAAATAGTTCTTTATCATTTATTTAGTTAATGAAAATCTAATAACATCTACTGTTCAAATGATGAATTTATTACATGCAATTTTGAGTCTGTTATCTTCTTTTGAAATGTAATTGAATTGTTTTTAAAAATGGAAGAATAAGCGATTTATTCCCAACAAATAATAATTCCTGTGCATTAATCAGTGTAGGAAAATCAGCCCTACTGGCCTCATGCCGCTGTTTGGTGGCTAGTCTGAATAGAGATGGAACAGCACTTGCAGCGGGGGTTGGAAAATTGCTTAATAGAGTTAAACAGGTTGTAGAGTGGAGTGCGTAGATGTTCACTAATCAAGAGATGGACCAGTATATGTTTTGATAGCTTTAGAAAAAGTACATGTGGAAACCTGAGTGAAATGGTGCAATAATTCTACCGATGCTCTAGCACCCCTCAATTGATTACCACTTCAAGCCACTGCCTGGCTGGTCTCTTGGCAAATGAATGATCCCAGCAGTTTTGACACCGAGGTTATTTAGTGTTACCTACACCCATAGTGACTTCTCTCCAGACTCAGGGGTGCCCAGGCCATGATAGTTTAAAAAAAAAATACAAAACACTGAGAAGTATTTTTCTAAAACTCTTATCCCTCTTGCCTCAGCTTCTATCAAAAAATGGCAAGAAACTGAGCTGCTATATCATTGACTTCAGTATTCTTATTTTCCCATCTCTTGATTTTCCCCCTAATTATTTCCATCCTCTGTCTCCCTCAGATGTGGAAGTCTATAGTAGGGCATGATGTGTCTGTTTCCGTGGAGACTCAAGGTGATGACTGGGACACAGACCCTGACTTTGTGGTGAGTTTGGAAATAGCTTTGCTTGGATAATGAAAAGTAGAGTAAAGGCATTTAGGCCATTCCGTAACCTTTCAAGGGGCTTAGAAGAAGGACAGTCTGGGGCTGAGATAGACCGCACGGTGGAACTTACTAGTAGTAGGGCAGTAGGCTGTAATGAGTGGACTGCGTATAAAACTGATGTTGAGAATGGAAGAAGACAGGTGAGAAGAAGATAGGAGTTTGACTTTGTGATTGATGGGTTGTGACAGGCTATGCTAAGGGAGCAGGTTAACCTGGGTCTCCTTTGGCCTATGAGCCAGGATTTGGGCTGGACATTTGTAGTTTGGGGATTGAGAAGTCATAGGAGACCTAAAAGGGAAAGGGTGAGGGATGCAGTAGGAAAAGGGTTTCAGAGCTCACCAGTTTAATTTAACATGGGGGCTAGGATGTGTACACAGAGAAGCATCTGACTGAAGGAGGCAGCAGATGCAGGGGACACAGAGGTCATGTGTGTCAGCTGCATGGCCTCTCTCATTGTGGCACATCTCTTGCCATCTCTTAATGCTGAGTGCTGTCTTTTGCAGAATGACATCTCTGAGAAGGAGCAACGGTGGGGAGCCAAGACCATCGAGGGCTCTGGACGCACAGAACATATCAAGTAGGTGCCAAATGGACTAGGGAGTGCAAAGGGGACGTGGGAAGAGCCCAAGGAAAACTCAGTCTCGGGAAGAAAGAAAAGAGAGAAGGAAGTTTGTGTCCGTGAGTCCTTGTGTTTTTTTTTCCTCGAGTCTGTCCTTGTGTTCCTATGTGTGTGTCATTTTATAATTTTATTTAATATATTTCCTCTTATCCTCCCCCAACCCTATTATTTCTATTTTATTTCTAACAACTAGCTGATTCCCCAAGTAAATCTATTATAAGGAGTTCAGAAGGAAGTGGCTCAATTGTTGAAGTTTTGTCACACTATTATCTATCTATCTATCTATTTATCTATCTATCCATCTATACAAATATATGTGTGTATAGGGTAATTTCAGATGAGCCAAGGTGGATTTAATAAGATATCAAGGTAAAAAAAAAAAAAACTTAGAATAAATATTGTAAACATAGGAAATCAGGTTACACATCTAGTCTGAATGATTTTTTTAAATAAAAATTTGTATTTGGTTACTTGATAGAAGTTGGAAACTATGATAGGTGACATGAAAAAATATGTCCCTTGGGAAACCTGCTGAGTAAAACTATTTTAGTGATGGTATTTAGGAGTCGTAAAGATTATGACCCAATATTTTACAAAAACAAAATAAAATAAACACACACAATTCTGATACCATAGGAGAGAAGTTATTTACAGACATAACTAAGGGTTTCTGTGAGATATATTTTATATTTGGATTGAGAGATTCCATCTTCTATTCCCAGATTATTCAGAGTAACAAGGGCTATCTGCTTTGGAGAATATCAGAATGTCATATATTAGTAGCAAGGTAGACACAATGAACCGTATAACAGGAGCAAAATAAGAAGTAAAAATTGACAAGTACATACAAAGCAGCAAAAGGAATACAGCTCTAAGCTCCATTTTAACTCCCTCCTCCAACTGTAACAACAGTGTTTTTACTTCTTTTCCCCCTAAATTTAAAAAATGTCAGGGGAAAGCCACACTATGAAAACTTGGCACATCTATACTAATAAAAGAGTAATATGCTAATTAGACGGGACATCTTCTGGATGTCCTTTGGTGGCGGGGGCCAAGATAGAGGCAGTTAGGGGCAATTAGGCCAGTGAGGGTAGGGGGGAGTTAGGGGTGATTAGGTTGGCAGAGGAGCAGTTAGGGGTGATCAAGCTGGCAGGGGAGGGAAGTTAGGGGTGATCAGGCTGGCAGGGAAGTAGTTAAGGGAATCAATCCAGCAAGAAGAGGCAGTTCAGGGCAATCAGGCAGGCAAGCAGGTAAGTGGTTAGGAGCTAGCAGTCCCAGATTGCTAGAGGGATGCCTGACTGCCGATTTAGGCCAGAGGGATTGGGCCTAAATTGACAGTCAGACATCTCCTGAGAGGTCCTGGATTGGATAGGGTGCAGGCTGGGCTGAGAGACACCCCTGTCTCCCAGTGCACTGATTTCATTCACTGGGCCTCTAGTTTTTATATAATTTGATAATATTGAATTCTGTGTATTGTTGTTTAATCAGACATAAATGGTTTATCATAAGTAATGATAATGAATATTATTCTTAAACCAAGCAATTCTGGCAGCAATTGAAGAGATGTAAAAAAAAAAAAAAAAATGGATCAGAGTCCTGCAGAAAGCTTCTTTATGCCCTCTGTAGGCTGAACAGTCTCCCTCTCCTCTCCCCACAAAGTACCCCTTTTCTTTTCTGGGTAAAGGCCACTCGGCCCTGGTATCCTGAGAATTGTTAAGATTAGGATACAAACTCTCCTTGTACCTTCCTCCCGGTGCCTGTCTCATGCGTAATAGGAGCAGAACATTTTAAGGAAGACTCCCAATCCCTGCCCTGATCTTATGGAAAGAGTTTGAGTTCGGATTCCCAGCTCTGCCATTACCAGCAATGTGGATTTAGACATTAACCTCTCTGAATCTCAGCTTATTTGTTTATCAGGTGGGGATAATAATAGCTACTCTGAAGAATTCAATGGATTAACATATATCCAGAGCAGTACTTGGCACCTCTTAGCAGCTCAATAACGTTATTTCTCTTTTCTGTTAATATAGAATGGTTTAATCAGACGTTCTTTCTAAAAACCCAACATAAACATGTAAACAGATGACAGTCTTCCTTCCTCCTAAGTGGTGTTTATGTAGACTGTTGTGTTTCACAATCCAGCACATGCATTATGCTGACTGGGAGGACTAGGGAGTGCAAAGGGGAATGTGGGAAGAGCCCACATTTGTGCAGTTGTAAAATTTGGTGACCCTACATGTTCCCTTATTAGCTTCACTGGATCTGCATAAGGTAGAATAAATAGTGGCAACATTTATACAAAACCTACTCCCCTCCAATTTACCCAGGCTACCAAGGTGTAAAAGCCCAGTCTCTGCTAGTGACTAGGCAAGTGACCTTGGACAAGTCACTTCTCAGATTCTCGGTTTCCCCATTGGGATAAAAAAAAGTCCTCTAGAGGACCTCCCGGTAATAAGTCCTTTAAGGTTCTCTATGGCTAGTGTGGGTTAAGCCAATCTTTAAGATCAGATTGGACTCAATAAGGTTCTTGGGAAAGAGGGGGAAGTTGGAGAGGAGAACACTAGCTACAGAGCTGAGATGACTCAAAGCAGGAAAAGGAAGTGATTGTGGTTCAGACTAATCGTACTACCTCCCCCCACACCATGATCTTTCTTTTTTAGGTCTGCCTAAAATAAATGTAGCTTGGGGAGTGTTTGGTAATTTGGTGAATAGGTCAAGTAACCATCCATCCCTCCTCTATTGTACAAGTCCTGGGCCAGGCAGCTCCAAGCAGCCTAATGTTTCCAAGGAGTTGCTGGTTTTCAAGAGCTATTGCCCCTTTTCTCCGTCTTCTTCTTGCCACTCTTGCCCACTCATGCTTGTATGCCTATTTATAGTCAATAGACCTCATAGACTGTCCTGGTAAACACTGATCTGCTTCTTATCACTACAGATCAGTTTTGCCCATCTTAGAATTTCATGTAATGAGAATAATATAGAACTTATCATTTTGTGTCTCTTTTCTTTCACTCAATATAATGTTTTTGAGGTCTATCCACAGTCTTGTGTATATCAGTCTGTTGTGCTTTATTACTGCCAAATAGTATTCAATTGTATGGATATACCACATTTTGTTTTATTTGTTACCCTGTTGGTGGACATTTAGGTTGTTGACAGTTTAGGGCTATGACAAATAAAGCTGTCGTGAACATTTGGGTTTAGATCTTTTTGTTGACATAAATTTTTATTTCTCTTGAGCAATACCTATCAGCAGAATTGCTGATTCATATGTTAAGTGTGTGTTTAAAGCAACTAACAAATTATTTTCTTATAGCACCTTTGCAATTTTTCATTCCTACCAATACTGCATGGTTGTTAAGAGTTTCACATTCTTATCTACACTCATGTGCTTATGTGATAATTTTAATTTGAATTTTTTTGATGATTAATTTTATTGAGCTTCTTTTTATGTTCCATTCATGTATCTTCATATCTTCCTTTTGATGTTTGTTCAAATCTTTTCTTCACTTTCAAAGAGGGTTGTTTTTATTCTTATTGAGTTTTAATAGTTATTTATATATTCTGAATACAAGTATTTTATGAGATATGTGTTGTGCAAATATTTAACCCAGAGTATAATTCACTTTTTCATTTTATTAATGGCATCTTTTGAAGATCAGAAGTTATTCTGGTAGAGTCTAAATCATAAATATGCATGGTTAATCCTCTATGTGCCTAAAACATTTTTGCCTACCTCAAAGTTGTGAAAATTTTCTTATAAAATATTTATAATTTTAGCTTTTACATTTAAGTCTATACAAATTAGTTTTTGTATACAGTGTGAGGCAAAGATTAAGGTTTATTTTTGCATATGGATAGTTCATTATTCCAACACCATTAAAAAACTGTTCTTTTCTCATTGATTTACCTGGCATCTTTGGCCATATACATGCGGGTCTATTTCTAGATTATATATATATATATATATATGCCTTCCCTGTCCCATACAATACTGATTATTGTATTGACAGGTCATAAAATCAAATAGTCCTCCAATTTTCCTCTCCTTTAGAATAATAAAAATTTTACTATTCCAGGATTTTACGTTTCCACATACATTTTAGAGTAAGCTTATCAATTCTTACAAATATGCCTGAGGTGTTTTGATTGGGATTGCATTGAACCTGTAGACCATTTTGGAAAGAACTGACATATTGAGTTTTCCAATTCATGAATGTGAGATATCTCTCCATTTATTTAAGTCTTTAATTTTTTCAGAAATGTTTTTGTGTGTTCAGGTCTTGTATATGTTTTGTTAAATTTATGCTAAAATGTTTTATGTTATTTCATGTGATGGTAAGTTGCATTTACTTTTAACTTTTAATTTCCAATGTCTGTGGCTAGTATGTATGTCTAAATAAAATTGATTTTGATAGTTATCTTGTATCCTGTGACCTTGCCAAATGGACTTAATGGTTCCAGTAGCACCCCTTTTCAGTAGATTCTTTAGGATGTTCTACATCTGTGATTATATTGTTTGTGAATATAATTTTATAGTCTGAGTTACTTATCTTTGTGCTTTAACTTTTTAATAAAAACAAGATCTGTTCCTTTTCTTAGCTCATTTTTGAGGCCCTAAATTTCACTGGTTCCCATAAATTCCATTGCTTTATCAATTCCAAGGTATTTTAAAACTTAAAATAGGCATCTGAGAGTTAATGTGTCAAAAGTTTCGTAAGTATACCACTGAGCACATTGAATTCTAATTTTTTGTTTTCTTCTCTACTACTTTCACCTGACCACAATCTCTGTACATTAATCATCTTGGTGTCCTCGGGGCCTAACAGTGTCTCACACTCAAAATTTTAATTAAAATTTAACTAATATTTATTAAATGAAGGAATGATATAACTAATACCTACTTAAAGTGGCTTCAGCTATATTCTAAAGGATTTGATAATCTGGTCTTCTTTGACCCCATCATTTTCATTTAAATTATATTGTCTGTTGGCATGATCCTCTGAGTAGCCTTGCTGTCATCCATTAGGTGATATATATATGAATCTCATTTTTTAATTCCTTTTAAAAACTTTTTTCAACCATAATATCATTATGACCCATGCAGCAATCATTGGGCTCATTAAAACATTGCAGACTTTTCCCATTTAAAAGTAATATTTAGCTCCATTTTTCTTCGTTCTTCATCTGAGTACTTTGGTTGGGAAGTATCAGTCGTTTACGTGTTCTTGGAACCAATATTTGATGCAGACATTTCTAAAGTGTTGGTGTTGTTGAGCTAGCAACACAGGATCTCTGCCTTCGCTGCTGCCAGAGGGTTTAGGGCAGGCGCGGGAACAGAGGGTTCTTCCAGCACTTAGTTTAATTTCATCTGGTTCAAAGCCAGCTTTCTAAAATTAACCGTGACTAAAACTGAGCAGGCTTTTAAAAAAGATCTTTGATGGGCTTATACTACAAGGCCACCAGATGGATCTATTCTTCCACGAAAGAGGAGACTTTCTGCTGTGAAATGGCCACTGCACTGGTAACCAATGCATTCTGGTTTTCCTGAGTGATTGACGTTCCAGTGACATCACTATGTCAATTCCCTAAGAGTTCATTTCTTGCTCTAGGAAGTCAGTTATTTTATTTAGGGTTCTCTTGCCTAAATGTTTCTAAGAATCCCCAGGGGCCTTTATATGTGTCCAAGTATCAGCCCTGATTGTCACGTATTGGTGCTAGTGCTGAGCTACTACCTCATATTCTCAGACCAAATAGATATGCAGAGGTGCTCTCTCCCCTTATGGTAAAGGTGGAAGTGAAGTAAGGAGAATGCCTTCTTTTGGAGTTACATTCTCTTAGTGATAGAGGTGTCCCAAATCAATGTTATTTGAGCCTCAGTGTTGCAACAATTAGTGATAATAGTGAATTTTACTAGTTTTTATTAGTTTTTTTTTTGTTTTCTTATGAATTATCAGATTTAGGAATGAGGGTGAAGGACATTTGTTTTTACAAGAAAATACAAAAATGCTTAATATGTAGATAAATTTCCCAATGCTACATTTTCATAACCATATTTTTAAATGACTTCCTAGATGCTATTGAAAGATAATAATGCAATTTAATTAAATATTCTTCAGTTACTGCCATATAATTTATTTGTGGTTTCTTGCTTTACTACATACAATGTTTCAGTGAATATCATGAGACATTAAACATTTCCATATTTAAAATTATTTCCTTAAGGTAGACTCCCAAGACTAGATTGTATGGGTAAAGCGTACATGAATATTTTTGTGCTTCTTAAGATAGAGTACCTAATTGCTAGAAAGTGAATTAATTCAGAGAGGAAAATAATTTCCCAGCTACTAGAATATAGATATCGGTTCCTGGTCAAGGGCATGAACTTGGATTGCAGGTTTGATGCCCGGTCTCAGTTAGGGCATATGTGGAAGGCAACCAATCGATGTGTCTCTCTCGCATCAATGTTTCTCTCTTTCTCTGCCTTCCCCCCTCCCTTTCACTCTCTCTTAAAATCAATGGAAAAAATATCCTGGGATAAGGTTTAACAACAACAACAACAACAAAAATTGGACTAAATATCAGCAGGTTATTAAGTGAGCAAAATTACAGACAGAAAAAACTGTTGGCTTATGGAAAGCTTAAATCAGGCTATGGTATGCAGCCACACTAATCTCTTACTCCCAGACCCAACTCTGGTATATACTGGGAACAGGTTATTGCTAAACATAAACAGGTCATACCTGAAGATTTCCATTTTCAGGGAGGAGGGTTTGTTGGCTTCCCTGTGCGATACATGTCTCTGTCATGTGGTTACTTTCAGCATCCACCAGCTGAGGAACAAAGTGTCGGAGGAGCATGATACTCTCAAGAAGAAGGAGTTGGAATCAGGGCCCAAAGCATCCCATGGTTATGGAGGTCGGTTTGGTGTAGAAAGAGACCGAATGGACAAGGTGAGCTGAAAGGGAGATATTTGCATTTTTTTAAAAAGATTCATTCATTATGTTATTTCACTTGTTATTTGTATTTTTCCCCCCTGTATAACACATAAATTATAGACAGCAAAAAATGGAAGCCAAGAATTGAGAAGGGCTGGCCATAGTAGGACCAGCTATACTATAACTCCTAGCCTGAAGGGACAGGGAACACAAGTCAAACAGGGAAAAATATGTTTCAAAATAAAGTACTACTTTTAAATATTTGTGTTTTATATCTATATTGCAACTTCTCTTATTATTTTCTTTACTGTATATTTAGTGTTGTTATGTATATATTATATGTAATATGATACGCACATAGGTGTGAATTTATCTATGAGAAGCCCTCAAATATGAATAGTTTTTATTTTATCAATTAGATGCTGTAAATTTGTGATAAAAGGATGCATATATATTGAATCATATTTGCCACTGATTTTCCAAACTTCAAAGGTAGAGATATATTTCTATAAGAAACACGCTTTACTTTCAAGGAGAAAAAAATCCAATGAAAGCCTTTAGTTCACCTTTAAGAGGTGTTTTGCTTTGTCCTTGTGTGAAGTGCAGCATAGGCATTGTATTCTTCCATGAAATTCCTAACAAAAAAAGCAGTCATTTATTCCTAAATTTAACAAGCAAAATTGACCTACACAGGTATATTGCAACAATAAGTTCCCAGGAGCTTATATAGGGCAGTTCTTTACGGCAGTCTTTACTGAAGTTGCTTATCCCAGCATGGGATTGGAAATATAGGGAGAAGGAGAAGAAATTTCTAATTTCTTTAGTTGAGACTCTGCAATGCCTCAATATTTGGTTTGAAGTATTACTCAGTTTCAAAATTATTAAAGCACTCTATATAATAAAAGCTTAATATGCTAAGTGTCCGGTTGTCTGGTTGGCTGTTTAACCAATCAAAGCGTAATATGCTAATGATATGCTAAGGCTACTTAACCACTCACTATGACATTCACTGACCACCAGGGGGCAGATAGTTGACCAGTAGGTTAGCTTGCTGTTAGGGTCCAGTCGATCAGGACTGAGTGAGATGGGCTGGACATGCCCTGGAGCCCTCTCGTGGTCCCTCCCCAGCTGGCCAACTTCCCACATCCCTCCCTGGCCCCATGCAGGAGCTGCCCCCTCATGGTTAGTGCACTCCCATAGGGGGAGTGATGCTTAGCCAGAAGCTGGGCTCATGGCTGGCAAGTGCAGTGGTGGTGACAGGAGCCTCTCGCCTCAGCTGCAGGTGAGCCGTAAGGAGCGAGGGGTCCCAGACTTTGAGAGACCAGACTGCAAGAGATGTCTAACTGCCAGCTTAGGTGCAATCACCCCCACCCTGAGAACATCCCCCCAACTCCAGAAACATCTCCCTAACCCCCAGGAACATCCCCCAAGGGGTCCCAGACTGTTAGAGGGCATAGGCTGGGCTGAACTCCCCCCCCCCCCGCCAGTGCACAATTTTCATGCACCACACCTCTAGACCATATATAAATATTAGAAGATACCTAACTTTTAGGACCAAATAGAAAATAAAACATTTAATGGAGTAAAAAGTGTAAGGGAATAAAAAAGATTTAAGTGACATGCAATCTTGGACTAATCTCAGTATTATCTATTAGTCTCCTTTGGTAAAGAGTCAGTCATTGCTAAATATTAGGGCTCAGGTGACATTTTTGAATTTTATGCTCATACAGGAGAAAAGATTTAAAACAAAAGCACCAAGCTGTTTATGTGAATATTCAATCCTGACTAAGGCATCCAGTCAGTCTCCTTTGATCTCTCCCCAGTACCCGCCCTCATTTCCGTTTTGATTTACAAAGCCTTTGTTTTAGCTCTCTTTTTGCTTCTGGTTTAACCACAGCTCTGTCTTCCTAGTCTCTATCCTTCTGGTTCCCCGCCTGTTCTACAGGAGTTTCCTGAATGATGGGATCTGGATGGTGTTAGAGAAGAATCAGGGTGTGTGAGGCTCCAGAAGTCACCTTGCTCTCCCATCCTTGTCATCCTTGGTGCCACTAGCAGAGGCTACAAGTCTGACCCAGAATGGAATTTCCTATATTCTTACATCCCAGCCCATCTCTGTGTCATTTTGTTTTCTTAACGTCATTTTTATCTTATCACTCATTCTGCCCTTGATTTTTCTCAGAGTGCTGTGGGCCATGAGTATGTTGCCGAGGTGGAGAGGCACTCTTCTCAGACTGATGCTGCCAGAGGTTTTGGGGGCAAATACGGAGTTGAGAAGGACAGGGCAGACAAGGTAAGTACCTGTTCTCTCCGTGCACATCCAACTAGATCCTGTGGGACTTACCAACACTTCCCCTTGAACGTGGGTCTGTGGGTCTTCTGTGAGAAACAGGGCAGTGGACTCGAGGAGGGTCCAGCACGAGGTCAGCTCCTGTGACCTCCCTCAGCAAGTTCCTTGGTGCCACTGTTGGAGGCCACACACTGAGCAGAAAGGCAGTAATTTAAATGAGATAAGAATTCTCAAATTTTGTTGGAATAAGGAATCCCTCAAGCCATTGATTTTTGTTACACCTTGTATACATGAAGAGAGAAGAGGGAAGTTCCAAAGCTCCTCTTTTTGTCAAACCTAAACACCTTATAAATATAGGGTGTCCCCCCAAAATGTATACACACTTGAACAACTGATAACTCACTTAATTTTGAAACTGAACTGTATGTTAGTAAATACTGACTGCATAAGCATTCAAAATGTGTATACATTTTGGGGGACGCCCTGTATATCTATGCCTTTCAGGGAGATAGAGATGTCAACTTAAATGTTATTACCTTGGCAGCAAATAATCAATTAAAAAATAATCAAGTGAAACAACTAATTAGGGTAGCGATTTAGAAGGTAAAGGTTACTTTTAAGAAGACTTAGCTCCAAATCGCTGAAGTCCTGGTGTTTAAAGATTGCTTTGTACAAAACAAATTTAAAAAAAAAAAGTAGTTTTAAGGAGAGGAAAAAAAGGACAGTATGATTACAGATGAGAGAGTGGTCACAAGAGTGCAATTGATAACTCATTGATATTGTCAGTTTCACTCCTTAGCAGATCAGATTCTTTGGTCTTGCACTGTGGTGGGTGCAGAATAGTGTTTCCCCTGCAGCTACATCAAGAAGACATCTCCTCATAGCTAGCTGAGATTCCCTTTTAGCCTTCAGTTGTTTATTTGGTGGGCCCGAATCCTTAAAGCTAAGTGTTAGATGTTATTTTACTGTAGGTGGAGAAAACACCAGAAAAGTTAAAAGTATACTATAAAGGAAAGAAAATACGCAGCGGGCGCTATTTTAAGGCAGTAACGGAATATAGGGCATGTCATGGTCTCCTCTAATCAGGTTGGAGTTTTTCTTCCATCTTGGCCTCTTCCTAACATTTCATTTTTCATCTTGTGGCTCACAGCCACAAATTGAATCCCTAAACAATCAGTGTGTCATGTAGGTCAAGTAGTAATACATACTATTAGCTCTAAGATGCAAAATCTAGACTCAGAGACCCATAGTTACTGAACCATGATGTTAGTTGTTGGTCAATACTTATTTACTTACTGAGGACCAATGCACAAAATTAGTGCAAGGGTAGGCCTTCCTTTCCCCAACTGCTGGCAGTTGGCCCCAACTCCTGCTCACAGCTGCCTTGGCCTGGCACTGCCTGCATCCACTGACACCCCTGCTTCCTTCTACATTGATCGCTCTGCCAGCTGGTGGCCTGGGCCTCCCTCTGCAGGGCAATCATGCAATCAAGCAATGGCGCCCCCCTCCCCAAACCAATCGTATCACACCCACCTTGGTGGCCTGGCACCAGTTTGCCTCATAGTGTGGTCATCCTGATGGCCATTCAGTCAATGTGCATATAACACTTTTATTATTATAGACATCCAGTCCCAGGAGCAGCTAGGATCCAGACTCTCCTGATTGACTCTCATCCCACCAAAATCCATATCTCTGTGTAAGGAAAGAAAAGAGGCACAGCATAATTAATTAGAAATAGGATGCTACCTATTCTATAGTGCTTTATAGTTTTCCAAGCACTATTATCTCATTTTACTGTCATGAGAGTTAGGAAGAAAAGCACTAATTTACTGAGTAACCCAATGAAAACACTTGCCATACCTTGCCCCATTTAGTTCTTACAATATCCCAGAAGAAGAGGGATGATTTCTTCCATTTTACAATTGAGGCTAATGAAACAGGTATATCTATTTTCATTTTATATTTGAAGAGACTGAGGCTCAATTATGAAAGGACATGTGTTAAGTTCAACTCTAAGTAGGGGAGGTGGGATTTGAATCTAGAACTGTGTCCAGAGTCCATGCTCACTGATTTGTAGCACGCTGCCTCTACACCAGTATGTCAGTACTATTTCTACATTAAACCCCCATACACAGGCCTGAGCCCCTATAAATGAACCTCTGGGCTGACCTGGGAGCAAGGATAAATGAGAGAGGGGAGGCAATGTCAGCTCCGAGTCTAACCAATTCTCTCTCCTTTTCTTTGTAGTCAGCAGTTGGCTTTGATTACAAAGGAGAAGTGGAGAAACACACATCTCAGAAAGGCAAGGACCCTGCTATTTTGCTCAGACTTCAAATACCATAGCTGTCAACAACTCCTTTTTCATTCCAAAACTCAATTCCTATTTCACTTATTTTAAAATTGAACTGTGTACTTGCTCTTCCCTTCTCCTTTACCACTTTCTATGAGATTGATCAAGTTCTATTTAGTCCCTCCCTTTTCCCCCTAATGGGTTAAAAATAAGGTATTCTACTCATTTATTTTAGGAGATTATTCTTAAATTGTAACATGCATCTCTGACTTAAATTTAAACATTATGTCTTCATGTATAATGTAAGATATATAGAATATTTTAATCACATCCTTTTTACATTCTACATTCTTTGTACCAGCTGGACAATTACCTGGGATATTGGTTCTATGTGTTGATAATCCCCATAAAATTGAGTCATGATTATTACCTAGTAAATTCTTATTTAAATTGACCCACATATTTACCAATTCTCACCTCATTATTATTTGCTGTATTTCATTATTTCCTCCTGGCTTCTTATAATTTCTTCTTGCTAAAGTATGCCCTTTGATAATTCTTTCAGTGAGTCTATGAAGGAACTCTCAGGTTTTCTCTTAAAAAATCTTTCATTTTCTTCTACTCTTCATTATTATTTTCCATTCATCACTTTGCAGATATTATTTCATTATCTCTGGTATCTCTCATGTCATCATTTCTTTGTAGATAATAAGTCTTATCTCTGTTTCCTTAAATTTTATTTAATGAAAGGGTTTTTTTTTTGTCTTTGATATTCTGAAATATTATAAGGAATATGTCTAGGTGTTGGATCTATTTTTATTATTTTACATGAGACATCAGTTCCTTCAACCTGCAAAGTACTCATTATGGAAAGTTCCCAGGCTTTTTTAAAATTTAATAAATCTTTATTGTTCAGATTATTACAATTGTTTCTCTCTCCCCCCCCTCCCCCGTAGCTCCCCTCCACCTGGTTCCCACCCCACCCTCTGCCTTTACCTCCCCCCGCCCCATTTTCCTCATCCATAGGTCTACAATTTTTGACCAGTCGCTTCCCGTACCCCCCATACAGACAGCCCTTTCCCCCTGAGAATTATCAATCCATTCCTATTATATGCCCCTGATTCTATTATATTCACCAGTTTATTCTGTTCATCATATTTTTTATTCACTTGATTTTTAGATTCACTTGTTGATAGATATGTACTTGTTGCTCATAATTTTTATCTTTATCCTTTTCTTCTTCTTCCTCTTCTTAAAGAATACCTTTCAACATTGCATATAATACTGGTTTGGGGGTGATGAACTCCTTTAGCTTTTTCTTATTTGTGAAGCTCTTTATCTGACCTTCAATTCTGAATGATAGCTTTGCTGGGTAGAGTACTCTTGGTTGTAGGTTCTTGTTATTCATCACTTTGAATATTTCTTGCCACTCCCATTGACCTGCATAGTTTCTCTTGAGAAATCAGCTGACAGTCGTATGGGTGCTCCCCTGTAGGTAATTAATTGTTTTTCTCTTGTTGCTTTTAATATTCTCTCTTTGTCTTTTGCTCTTGGCATTTTAATTATGATGTGTCTTGATGTGGTCCTCTTTGGATTCCTTTTGTTTGGGGTTCTCTGTGCTTCCTGGACTTGTAAGTCTATTTCTTTCACCAGGTGGGGGTAAGTTTTTGGTCATTATTTCTTTCAATAGGCCTTCAATATCCTGCTCTCTCTCTTCTTCTGGCATCGCAAAAATCCGGATGTTGGTACGCTTGAAGTTGGTACGCTAGAGGCTCCTTACACTATCTTCATATTTTCTCTTTGCTTTTCTGGTTGAGTGTTTTTTGCTTCTTTGTATTTCAAATCTTTGACTTGATTCCTGCTATCCTCTTGCCTGCTGTTAGATCTTTGTATATTATTATTATTATTATTATTATTATTACTTTAAAATATATTTCATTGAATTTTTACAGAGAGGAAGAGATAAAGCGTTAGAAACATCGACAAGCTGCCTCTTGCACACCCCCTACTGGGAATGTGCCTGCAACCAAGGTATATATGCCCTTAACCGGAATCAAATCAGGGACCTTTCAGTCTGCAGGCCAATGCTCTATCCACTGAGCCAAACCAGTTTTGGCCTCTCTATGTTATTTTTTATTTTTATTTTTTATTTTTTTAAAGCAAGCAATTAGCCGTCTTTATTTTACTTATTTATTTTTTATTATTTTTTTTACAGAGAGGGAGAGAGAGAGATAGAGAGTTAGAAACATCGATGAGAGAGAGACATCGATCACTTGCCTCTTGCACAACCCCCACGAGGGATGTGCCTGCAACCAAGGTACATGCCCTTGGCCGGAATCGAACCTAGGACCTTTTAATCTGCAGGCCGAAGCTCTATCCACTGAGCCAAACTGGTTTCGGCTCTCTCTGTTATTTTTCATTTCAGTCAGTGTATGCTTAATTTCTAGTTGGTCTTTTTTCAAAAACTTGAGAGTCTCACTAAATTTATCAGCCTTTTCTAGAAAATTTTTGAAAAAACTTTATAACCATGGTTTTGAACTCTATATCCAGTCATTTGCTTTCCTCCATTTCTTTCATTTGTGATATGGTTCTTTGTCTCAGCATTTTGGCTGCTTCCCTGAGTTGATAGAGTGGTTTTGTGTGCTAGTTGTCCTATAGGGCCCAATGGCCTCGTACCTCTACCTTCCACAGCTCCTGTAAGTCTTACTGTGCTTTTCTCTTTCCTTCTAGTTATAGAATTTCAACTCAGCCAGCCTTCCTGTGGTTCTGGATGATGTCTGTTTGTCTTTTAGTTTTAGTTTTGAAATTATTGTGTGAGGCATCAGTTTAGGTGTTTACCTATGCCCCATGTTGGTTTCTCCTCATTTCAGGATTTTAAAACTATGTTTTTGAGAGATATTGGTTTATAGTTTTCTTCCTTGTAATATCGTTGCTGGTTTTGGTATTAGAGTAATGCTGGCCTCTTAGAATGAGTTAGAAATTATTCCCTGTGATTTTATTCTCTGAAAAAGATTGTAGAGAATTGATACATATTTTATCCCTTAAATGTTTTGGAGAATTCCCCAATGACCCATTGGGGCTGATGTTTTCTGTTTGGGAAGATTATTAATTGTTGATTCAGTTTCTTTAATAAATATAGACCTACTCATATCATATGTTTCTTCTTGTATGAGTTTTGGAAGATTGTGTTTTTATAAGAATTGTCTATTTCATCTAGTTTTCAAATTTGTGGGCAGAGAGTTGTTCATATTATTCTTTTATTATCCTTTTAATTTCCATGGGATCTGTAGAGATGTCCCCTCTTCATTTGTAATCTTATTAATTTGTATCCCCCCCTTTTTTTATTAGCATGGCTAGAGATTTATTGACCTTTTCAAAGAACCAGCTTTTTTTTTTAAATTCATTTTCTCTATTATTTTGCTGTTTTCAATTTTATTTATTTTTTCTCTAATTATTTTTATTTTCTCAGCTTACTTTGAATTTAATTTGCTCTTATTTTCTAGTTTCCTAAGGTGGAAACTTAGATTATTGAATCTCATTTTTTCTTTCTTCTTTTCTAATATGCACTCAATGCTATAAGTTTTTCCTTAAGGACTACTTTTACTGCATCTCAAAATTTTTGATAAGTTGTGTTCTTGATGTCTCTAATTTCTCTTCTCTATTTCCATTTATTTATCTCCTGGTGCTGCATTCTGAGTAACTTCTTTGGATTTATATTAAGTTCACTAATTCTTCCTTCAGCTTGTTTTAGTAATTATTTACACTAACTACTTTTTAAAATATATTTTATTGATTTTTTACAGAGAGGAAAGGAGAGGGAGAGAGTTAGAATCATTGATGGGAGAGAAACATCGATCAGCCGCCTCCTGCACACCTCCCACTGGGGATGTGCCCGCAACCAAGGTACATGCCCTTGATCGGAATCGAACCTGGGGCCCTTCAGTCTGCAGGCCGATGCTCTATCCACTGAGCCAAACTGGTCTCAGCTACACTAACTATTAAGTATTTAACTTTCTTTCAGATATTTTCATTTATGGAAGTTTTCCTTGGTTCTCTTTTAAATCTCCTGATTCTTTTTCCATAACTGTTGCTTTCATTTTTTTTTTTTTAAATCATTTTTATTGATTTGAGAGAGAAACACTGATTTGCAGTTTCACTTATTTATGCATTCATTGGTTGTTTCTTGTATGTGCTCTGACAAAAGAGCAAACCTGCAACCTTGGCATCATCAGGATGACACTCTAACCAACTGAGCTACCTGGCTATGGCCTATTGCTTTTATTATGTCGCCCCCAACCCGCCACTTCTTTAAGCTCTTTAATTATTTTTTTTAATAATTATTGTATAGTTTATTTTATATTGTTATATTATCTGCAGTTCTTGGGAGTGATAATTCTTCTATTTGATTATTTTATTTTCCTCATGATTATTTATTTTGTTGAGAGTTGTGATTTTTTGTGTGAATTTATTTCAGTGGGGGAGAGATATTTGTTTTATGAGAGTTTCATGGGACATGTTTTGATTAAGTTTCCTATACAGAGAAATCTTGCCTTTACATCTGGCTGAATTGTAGAGGTCTTAATACTAGTAATAATGGACCATTTAAAATATTTTTTCATTATAAATTCAATTTAAATAGATGTAGATCTATATAGTCTTTTTTTTTTTTTTTGTCAGTTATGATATACTAGAGGCCTGATGCACAGAATCTGTGCAAGGAGCTTGGCCCTCGCAGCCCTGGCCTCACAGCCCCAGCTTCATCTGGAAGATCATCCAGACAGTTGTTTTGCTATCCAGTCTAATTAGCATATTAGCTCTTTATTATAAAGGATGGTGTTTTCAAGGAAGTTTTGCATTTATCTATGTTGTCAAATTTATTGACATAAATTTATTTACATTCTTTCTAACCTCTGCAATATCTGTAGTAATGTGCACACTTTCATTTCATATTATTAATCTGCTTTTTTCTCTTTTTAATTGATTATTCTTGCTATAAGTTTATCTGTTTCTTTTCTTTTCAAAGAACTAACTTTTCAAAATATATTTTTGTTAAATTTATTGGGGTGACATTAGTTAATTAGATTATGTAGGTTCCAAGGGTATATTTCTATGACTCATGATCTGTATGTTACATTGTGTGCCCATCACCCAAAGGCAAATCATCTTCCATCACCATATATTTGACCCCCTTTACTACTCCTACCTCCTTTCCCTCGGCTGTCTGTATCTATGAGTGTTAGTTTGTTTGAAAAAAACTCACATGTGACTTCTCTCATTTTCTTTATTGTTTACTTGTCTTTAAAATTGCATTAATTTCTGCTTTTATCTTTATTTTTTCTTAATTTTAAAGTGAGTTTAGTTTGTTCTTTTTCTAGCTTCTAAAGGAATAAACTCAGTTAATTGATTTTTAAGTCTTTATCTCCTGTACTAGAGGCCTGTTGCATGAAATTTGTGCAAGGGGCTCAGCCCTCACAGCTCCTCACAGCCTTGGCTTCGTCTGGAAGGTTGTCCAGATAGTCATTCTGCTGTTCGGTCTAATTGGCATATTAGCTCTTTATTAATTAGGATGTGAACTTGAAACCATATATTTCTGTCCAAATACTGCTTTTGCTGCATTTCACAATGTCATGTGGGTTTAAATTTTTATTTTCTTTATGATTTCTTCTTTGACCCAGGAGTTATTTAGAAGTGTGTTACTCATGTTCCAAGTATTGGGGGGAATTTTCTAGATAATTTTATTATTAACATCTAATTTAATTCTATTGTGACCAGAGAATATGGCATCTACTATTTCAATCTTTTGATTGTATTAAAAACTTATGCATCAGCATATGATCTAGGTGAATGTACCAAAGTATATTAAAAAAATGTATATTTTGCAGTTTGCGTTTATAGTGTTCTATAATTGTCAATTGGGTCTTGTTAGTTGATAATGTAATGTAGACCTATAATTTTAGATTCTTTTGTCTGAATTTCTGTTAATTCATGAGAGAAAGGTGTTAAAATTTTTAATTATTATAATGAATTTGTCTCTTTTTCTTCCCGCTTCTGTCAGTTTTTGCTCCATGAATTTTGATTCTGTTAATAAGATTATGCCAGCTTTTATATTCCTGATGAATTGTTCTTATTATTGTAGTAGGGGCCCAGTGCACAGATTTGTGCACCAGTGGGATCCCTTGGCTTGGCCTGTGGGGATTTGGCCAAAATTGGCACTGCAACATCCCCCAAGAGGTCCTGGATTGTGAAAGGGTGCAGGCCAAGCCAAGGGACCTCATCCGTGCAAGATTGGAGCCAGGGAGGGATTGTGGGAGGGCTCAGGGTGTGTCCGGCTCTTCTTGCCCCATCCCGATATGACCCCAGTAGCAAGCTAACCTATGGGTTGGAGCGTCTGCCCCCTGGTGGTCAGTGAACATCAGAGTGACTGGTTGAATGGTCAGACACTTAGCATATTAGGCTTTTATTATATAGGATTATCTCTTGTATCTCTTATAATGCATTTTGTCTTCAGGTCTACTTTGCCTCATATTCATAACATCTTTTTGATACTCTTTCTGTGGCATATATTTTCTTAGATAAGTATTAAAATTAATTTCTCAGCTTAGAATTCACATATAAGTAGCATACAATTAGATATTTGTGTTCCATCATTCAGGTGTGAGACTATAGTTTCCAAGTCTCTTAGGTAAATTTCCCCCCTATAGTTTGTTGCTGAACAAACTACAAGACCCCTCACCATTTCCCTGGACAAGTGAATAGAATTTTTCTAAAACTCTTTTATAGCAGTGGGCAGAGACTCATTTCCTGCTCTTCAGCCCTCTATTTATAGAAATCAGACCCTCAGATTCTAGATTCTAAATCTAAGCAATAAGTTTGGGACTTAAAACACCCTTGATTTTTCTGTGCCATCAGCTCATAAATATCCTCATATCTACTGCTTTGGTTTAGCTATTTGTTTTTGTAGCCAGGATTCTTTTTTTGAGCTTCATATTAACAACAACAACAACAACAACATAATTGTTATATTTTAGCTGACATTTCTAATTTTTTTATGGGAATAGGAAAAGGCAGACATTTCATGTAGATATGCCTTCCCCCTCTCCCCTTTTCAGAAGCTTCTCCTTATACTCTTTATACTTTTAATACAAGAAAATTGAAATGATCTTCTCATCTTGGCATGGAAGTAAGAGAGAGAGATAAAAAGAGTGAACAAAAAGCTTGCAAAAGATGGTTTAGAACACCTTTTCTCTTTAATTCACCTATATTTGAGCCCTGCTCTCTTCCCAGACCCCAATCACCCATTCTTCTTGACTTCTCTCTTCAGTGGCTCTTTCCTGTGGGCTGAGAGTGGGCTCTTATGACTGCTCCTTCCATTGCAGATTACTCTCATGGCTTTGGTGGTCGTTACGGAATAGAAAAGGATAAACGGGACAAGGCAGCTCTGGGATATGACTACAAAGGAGAAACAGAGAAACACGAATCCCAGAGAGGTAAGTTAGAACTGGAGAGGAGGGAGGTCACAGAGCACCCTAGAGCCTTAGCCCTTCCTTTCTGTTCTTATTCATTTTTAAATGTTTTTATTGACTTTTAGAGAGAGAGAGAAAGGGGGAGAGGGAAAGAAATAGAAACATCTATGAGACAGAAACATCAACATTGATCGGCTGCCTCCTGCACATCCCTACTGGAGATCAAACCTGGAACCCGGGCATGTGCCCTGACTGAGAATTGAACTGGTGACCTCTTGGTGCATGAGTTGATGCTCAACCACTGAGCCACACCTGCTGGACCATCTTTCCTTTCTGGAAGCAGACACAGAGGACCCATATTATAGAGGGGCAGATGTGCAGTGGAGGTGGTGGGTAAAAAATAATGTGTATGTGTGTGAGGGTCAGTGGAGGCAAACCAAAAGTGGTGGAGAGCAAAAGCATAAGATTAGGGACAGGACAGCAAATCGAGGCTTAGGAGAAGGGACCACTGAGAAAAGGATGAAGCAGACAGGATGGTGATGATAGGAGTGTGATTTGGCTATGATTCCTACCAGCCCCTCTGTCTCACAGAGGATAGAGAGGTCTCCTTCCTCGCTAAGATGCCTAGGGGATGGCTAGAGGGTTGTTCCTATCTTCTTCTGTTTCTTCCTTATCATTTCTCCCTTTTCTGTTACTTTGTTCCTTTTATGTTTTCCAATTCTCAGCTTTCTCTCCTCCATTCTCTCCCAACTTTCTTCTTCTTCCAATCCTTTTGCCTCTCTTCCCATCTTTGCCTCTCTCTATCCTCTGATTCTCATACTTTCTCATCCGCTTCTCTGTCTTCTGCTCTTTCTCTCCCCCCCACCCTGCTCCCTCTTCACACCCATTTCCAGCATTTTAACTCCTGTATGACTCTTAGACCTTTCTGTCCTGCAGATTATGCCAAGGGCTTTGGCGGTCAGTATGGAATCCAGAAGGACCGAGTGGATAAGGTAAAGTATCAGAGTACCAATGTCTTGAGAATACTTTCCCAAACTGCCCTAGAAGTGCATGGAGAAGAGAAACAAAGCTGGAAAAAAAGGTAGAAAAAGCTAGGTGTACTGGGCTGTCCTAGTGCCCTGCACTCCCCATGGACTGCCCCCAGCACCTAATGAGCATGTCTTCTGAAGCCTGAGCTTTAACTGAAGAGAGGAAAGGGAGCCAGAGAGAGACAAAGAGACAGATAAAGATGATATTTAAATTTTTATGATTGCTTAGCATTCTTTAACCCAATCTGCAGTCTCTTCCCATTCCTGCACCAGTTCCTCTTCATGCATTACTCAGAGCATTGCTGTATTCTATGCAACTGGATTTGGAGATGTGAGATTCTAGGTATACTGCACATTAAAAAGGGGAGCTGAGCCCACCGGTTTAGAACTTCTTTTCCCTTTTCTTTGCCACAAAACAACAGTGTTAGAATACCCTGTCCAACTGTGGGTGATCAAATGGTTAGCATACCTCAGTGGCCTCAATCCCTAACATTGCTTTCTGAGTAGCTACCACTTCCTTACCACCACCACCACCCTCATCCCCCCACACACCGACTGTTCTTCTGCAGAGTGCTGTTGGCTTCAATGAAATGGAAGCCCCAACCACAGCTTATAAGAAGACGACACCCGTAGAAGCTGGTGAGTCTTAATTCCCTTTCTCTATGCTCCTCAACTGCTTCTCCTTTCTCACTCTTTCTTCCCCCAAGACTGCCTCCTCTATGCCTTAAACTACCTAGATTAGCTGAGGGACACTTGGCCCTTATCCTCATATTCCCAAATTCTTTCTCCTAGACAAACTAGGTTAAGAGGATAAAGAGACAAATGTCTCTTTTTCCTTGAAATGCTACACTAACACCGCCCTCTCCTGACCCAAGAGAATCCTGATTCTTCTTGCCTGTGTCTACAGCTTCTAGTGGAGCCCGTGGACTGAAGGCAAAATTTGAGTCCATGGCTGAGGATAAGAAGAAGAAGGAAGAAGAAGAAAAAGCACAGCAGATGGCCAAGAAGCAACAGGAGAGAAAGGCCCTGGTAAAGATAAGCCACGAGGCTCAGCCTCCTGCAACTACTGTGGAAGAGCCAGCGGTGCCAGCCCCACTGCCTAAGAAAATCTCCTCACAGGTGAGTGCTTGGTGCTCTGGGATCCATATCCAGGACTCCTGCCCAAACAGAAACCTAAAGGTTCCAAATCTTTGGTCGAAAATAAGGCACAGGCTTCCCCCTGTGTTAAGCAAATGCTATATAAGTGCTCTCCCTGCCTTCAGGAATATTTCATTCTATGTTATTGGGCCTCACATATATACTAGGTTGTTAGAATGGGCAAGATTTTCACATTATAACAGAAGCCTGATCAGTATAGCTCAGTGACTGAGCATCAACCTATGATCTGGGAGGTCATAAGTTTGATTTCCAATTCTGGCACATGCCTGGATTGCAGAAAGACAGGTTACCAGCCGTATAGCCAATCATTGCTGCAGGAATTGATAGGAAAGAGCCATCACTACAGGTTGGAACCCATTTTGATGGATGAGTTAGATTTGGATTGGCAGAGGCAGGAGCGGGTGTTGCAAGTCAGTATAAGAGAAAATGCAGGCTTGCTTGCTTACTGGAGAGATGCTTCATTCTCCATAGACCTGGCCTCCAGCAGGGAGTTGCTCTTCACCAGATCCTGAGCCTGTGAGAACCAGCAGGGGACAACCATTGCCTTCCTTGCCCTCAAGGCAAAAACCTCCAGAGGTAAGCAGAGCCCCAACGATTCTCTGTCCCTTCCCCATCTTCTCATGTCCTAGGAAGACGGACCATAGAGTATGACCAACCATCCTGGTTTGTCTGGAACTGTCCTGATCTCAATACTAATAGTATTGCCCAGCTGGTGTGGCTCTGTGGTTGAGTGTTGCCCTATGAACCAGGTCATGGTTTGATTCCTAGTCAGGGTACATGCCTTGTTTGCAGGCTGTATCTCCAGTAGGGGGCATGCATGAGGCAGTCAATTTATGATTCTCTCTTATTATTGATGTTTCTATATCTCACTCCCTCTTCTTTCTCTCTGAAATCAAATATATATATATATATATATATATATATATATATATATATATATACTTCTTTTAAGAAGAAAAAAATATATATATATAGTCCTGCATTCTGGGAAACCACCCAGTTCTGGGAAGACTAGGAAAGCTGATCATCCTAGCTGTGGTATTCCCAATAATATGCTTTTGCTTCAATGTTTTCTTGGTCTTCTAAGGAATCTGCTTCCAACTTTCCTTTCCTCACACCTTTTACATTTTCCTCCTATCATATGTATTGAGTGGGTTGGTAGATGTGAAGGTTGAGGAATGAAGAATAGATGAATGACTGTGTATCCCAGGAGAGACTGTTAAATGGAAGTAAGAGTAGAAATGGTAGCATGGTGTTGAGTGTGGTCTTAGCAGTCCTCCATTGGAAGGTTTTGGAGCAGCAGCTCCTGGTGAATTCAAATTACCCTACTCTACACTGTCTCTCCTCAGGATGACGAGGAGCCCCCAGCTTTGCCCCCCAGGACACTGGAAGGCCTCCAGGTAGAGGAAGAGCCAGTATATGAAGCAGAGCCTATATATGAAGCAGAGCCTGAGCCTGAGCCTGAGCCTGAGCCTGAGCCTGAGCCTAAGCTGGAGCCAGAGCCAGAGCTTGAGAATGACTATGAGGACGTTGCGCATATGGACAGAAATGAGCAAGATGATGAACTAGAAGGGGACTATGAGGATGTGCTGGAACCTGAAGATGCCTCATTTCCCTCCTCTGTGGCTGGTGAGTGGTAGAAGGGAGAATCAGCTCCTAGATTTGGTCAGGTCTTGGGGAGGGTAAAAGGAAGCATTGCCCCATTGCCCGGAAGAACCTATTTGTTTTGCATGTTGGTGAGACCATGTTTATGTTTTTGATAATGCAGGATCATCAGGCGGTCCAGCTGGGGCTGGGATCTCAGCTATAGCCCTGTATGATTACCAGGGAGGTAAGTTGGGAGTGACCTGAGAGGTCTGGTGTCTGAAGGTCCTTGAAACAAGGGAGGGGGATGAATTCTGAGGGGCACAGAAGTGTCCAGATTTGGCATCAAGATGACCAGGGCTATTTTCTCTTTCTGAGGTTTAGAGTGGGTACAGGGATAAAGAGATTCCTGTTTGACCACCCTAATATCCTGTCAATTTCCTCTCCAGAGGGAAGTGATGAGATTTCCTTTGATCCAGATGACATCATCACTGACATTGAGATGGTGGACGAGGGCTGGTGGCGAGGACGTTGCCACGGTCACTTTGGACTCTTCCCTGCAAATTATGTCAACCTTCTCCAGTAAATGGCCCACGTTGTATTCTGCACCGTGACTTCCCATGATCCAAGTGGCTCTGCCTCCACTTCCTCCCATCCTGCTGCAAGTGTCTAATAGGATTTCATGAGTTGCCTGAGATTCAAGATAGATTTTCCTCTCCTTCTCCTTTAGGGTCTGGGGCAGAGATAGCATGAGGTTGAAGCTCTCCTTCGGTGTCCTCTCTATCCTGTGTGAGCTCATAGACATTTATCTTGTTGCCCCACCTTCTTTCCCACGAGTGTTCCTTCGAACACCTCAAGCTCTGGCTTCTACTCTTGGTTTGCATACCGAGGAAGGTATGTCTAGATTGCCTGGTTTACCTGGTTGTGCTGTTTGCTTACTTACCTTCCCTGCAGAGATACCTTTTCTCTGTTCAGTCTTAAAATTGGAAATAAAGTGGGACTATGTTTTACCTCTAGGCTGAAGTGCATAATGCTTTTTACGCATCTCTCAATGGCCTTGACTCTCATGGCTCCCAATTCTCCTTCCCTCTTTCAGGCATATCCAGAAGACTCCCCCCTACCAATGCCCATCCTCCTGTGCCCTGGATGTCCAGCCCTTTCCTTCAGCTATATTTACCCAGTCCTCATAGATCAGCCTAGGGAATGGTGATAAGGTGGGGAACAGGAGGAAGAAGCACAAATTAGAGATTAGGAAGGAGGAAAAGGGATATTTGGCAACAACAACAACAACAACAAAAAGGCAAAAGCTAAAGGGAACACAGGCTTCAATGAACTGGTAAGAGGATTTAATCAGAAACTGTATCCTCTACTCAAGAAAGTCCCAACTTCTTTGTAGCTGGATGACTGAAATTGATGGCCGAGTAAGTGGGTAGATGGGAAAAGCTCATGAAGCCTCTGTGTGGTTCAGGGCTGAATATGATATGAAAAACAGTGAAAACATTTAGACAGTCAGTGATGGGCACCAACAAATCACTAGCAAAGTATGGGGATGAGGAGAACGAGGACAGGGCATGGTGGGTTTATCCTAGCCCAGGCCATTGCGCTCTGTAAGGCCAGAGATAGGAGATGTGATCAAAATCAGTACAAAATTTAAATCAAAGCCAGGGATTTGGTTGGTGTAGGGAATCCTGTTAGTAAGACATAGAAGTCTGTGCTGTAATCAGTATAAGAAGTTGGGCCCAACTTTCAAAGATGAAGAAGAGAGTGGCAGCTAGGATTAGTGACCGAGATCCACAGATGCTCCAGGACTTCCTAAAGCTGTGAGCTGCCCATGTGCCTGGAGAACTGTGTCCCTTGGGCTTAGTCTCTTCTTTAAGACACACACTCCTTTTTTTCACAATGACTTCTCTGCCAGTGAATCACAAATCTGTCTCTAGAGCTACCTTACAAGCTTCACCCAGTTAGCCTTCCAAAGTGGAAAGCAGTTTTTATTGCTGCTTATATAGACACTGGGGTTTCCAGTACACAAAAGTAAGCCATCATAGATATACACGATCCCCTTCTTCACATCAATTTTATTTGACATCTCACACAGATCAGAATTTTACAATTATATCAGAATTTATGGTTACATCTCCAAGTCTCTCCTTGCTTTTTTTTCTTCTTCTTCACTTTCCCCCTTTATTTTAAGACAGAAACTTCTTTTCCAGACCCCTATGCTGTTAAAGCAACAATTTTACAGAACTGCCTCAGTTCTCCAGACCTCTCCCTCCACTTTGGCTGATTTCTACTCTGAACCGATTATCTTGGTGGTGATACTCATCAAGGGCTCTGCTCAGAGACGTCTCTCCAGCCAGGCTCCTACTCCTGGGTACACTGTCCCTTTCCACTCCCCTCCGTGCTTCTTAGTCTGAAGCCATGTCTAACTGTCTTGCCTCTGTCAGATAATGCTTGCCACCCGTGCTACTCACTCCAGCCTTATCTCACTAACCAAATCACCTTCTGCCTAATTCAGTCTCATAAAAAGTTTTCCTTTTGCTCCAACTGCCCTCTCACCATAAAATGTGCTTGTTTGTGTAGACCAGTGCATATACTGTGGTATCCTGCTTTTCTGCAAGATGTACAATCAGATATCTTACAAAATGTGATGGTGTTGATCGATTCAATATTGCTCTGAAGGCACCAACAAGGAAAGTAAAGTGGGACAGAAACTGTGCAGCCCACAGAGCTGTGTGACACTGTCGTGATTACTCCCTGAGCCCTGTCTGCCCCCACCCACCCAGATTGCAAAGGGAAAGCCCTTCTGCTCTCTTCCTTTCTCTATACTTCTCACCCGTCTACCTGTAGCCCCTAATTTGTATCTCCGTTGGCTCTCCTTTCTTTCTTTTCTTCCAGTAAAATGAAAGCCCCAGAATGGACTTTGGGAGCTTTCTTTTTTCATATAGGAAGGACTAGAGCCAAAATACATGGAACCGACACCTGAAGCAATCTCCCTTCTCCTTCCCCTCCCACTTTAGTGGTTAGTTGTTTCTAGTTACTCATCTTCACTGAATAAAATCTTAGCTCACACTCTATTTGTATTTTTAGAAAATGATTCCTTCTAAACAAATGTGCAATATAAACCAAACGATAAGAATGAGGAAAAATAGTTACATAACCGAATAGTACCAAGTGACATATTCTAATAAAAAGATGAGCATACTTCTGTTCTGGGACTTGCTCAAATGCTTCTTGACTCCTCTCAGAGGTGCCACCTACTTCATCTACACCAGCTTCAGACCATGTTCAAAGAGAGATCCAGGCAACAGCAAGCATTCAGATTAATTAGCCTCGTTTTTGTTGTTGTTGTGGTTGTTGTTGTTGGCTAAATTCTTTGTTCTCTACTTGCCCACAGTGTCTGTCCTCATTTCGCTTCTTTCTCACTTGTTTGAGGATTGCTAGGACTGAGAAAATGGCCCCAATTAAAGTGAGAGGGATGTAAACACAAGATAAATAGCTCCTGGCTTCAGGAACACTGGGGGAGAGCTGAAGGAATGTGCTTTTGAACATGACCCCAGGGCATAAAGGCACACCAAACAAAGGAGCTCCACTTAATTCGATTCACAAGTTAATATCTCCATGTGTCTAGAACCTCCTTAGTAACTACAAAGCTGATGCAGTCATCACCATTGTAGATAACTGTGTGTGAGAGATTTTGCTGTTCTAAACAGCCAATCCTAACTTACTGCCACTGGTATGTCATCTTTTAGGGCAGAGGTTCTTAACCAGGAGTGACTCAGAGGATATTTAACAATGTCTGGAGACAGTTTTGGTTGCTACAGCTGTGGGCGTACTATGACTAGAGGCTAAGAATGCTGCAAGATATCCTATGACACACAGGACAGCCCCTCGTGACAAAGATTTATTCAGTCCACAATGTCAGCAGTCCCCAGAAACTCTGCTTTAGGGGAGGTCAATTTCAAGTGTGTATTTTCCTTTTACTTTTGTTCTCATGAGTATCACTGTTTGTTACCCAAAATAGCAGTGTCACCCATTTTTGACACTTGAAGACGACCAATAACATGTAGGAACAATTACAGGGAACCACTATGGTCCCGTGACTTCCTTCCCAAGATCCCCATGGGTTACTCAGGTGGTGTCTAGGACCTGGTGACTGGTGCCACAGGCCCTGCAGTGGGTGCTGGTGCTGGGCTATGCAATGTTCTTCATAATCTGGACCTACCGGTTTCAAAAGAAAAGAACCTTGATTCTTAAATCATTATTAAAATGTTTAAATGTAGGCTTGAGGCCTTTTGCCCTAATTTTCTCCATGAATATAGTGTCTTATGGACTCTTCATTTTTCAAGTTTTTATTATATGTTGCCAAGGTTGTGCACAACATTTATCCTTTGGTTTGTGGTGTCTTTAAGGCTGCTGTGCTTAGCCAAGGTCTCTATTCTGTAGGGCTATGTTCAGACTGTCTTGGCTTAAGGGTAGTGGGGCAACTAACAACAGCCCCGGCCCCAGAACCTTGCAACTGTGAGCCTTTCACCATGGAGGACCAGCACCTTAGTCCACAACCCTGTATTGCCTGCCTCACAAATCAGAACATACTTACAAACTGACCACCCCAACCCCTGCCTAATAAAAGCACAGGCCCATACTTGTTATGGAATTCATTGTTCTCTCATTTCTAAGGAATTTGGCTTATCTTCCTCAATGACCTCATTACCTATTTTCTCTTCAGCCTGATTTATCTTAGAAATAAAAAAGGAAAAGAAGAAAGTCATCAGTATGGTATTATAGCAGGTACAGGCAGGGCTTAGGAAATTCTTAGACCTTGAAGGACAATGCATGTTCGAATACACCCAGATAAGCATATATGCAGTTTACAGAGAGAAGCAGTCTCTGTCCTACTTTCAGTAACTCCGAGGAGAAATTCAAGAAGGGAGGTATCTGAATCTTTAGTTGGTTTGTCTTCCTTGTGGTCTGGCTCTAAAGGTGGTGACCAAGCTCTCTCGGGCCTTCTCCTCGGGCTGACACATGCTGGTTAGAAGAATTGGGTCAGTCTTGTGCTCCACAACATTGAAAGGACACGTCTTCAGGTGCTCGGACATGGAGGTGACTTCATTAAATTCCCAGCTGTTGATTTTAGAGAAGAGGCTGCTGAATTGCCAGATCTGTTGGGAAAGACAGAAGCTCAAAAGTGAACATCGGGGCAAAACCCTCAGGTTAGCTTTATTTGAACGTTATAAGGAAATGTCTTCCTGTTTTTCCTGGTCTCAGCTTCTAGGGAGTGGTTAGTGGCTGCTGAAGATACATAGTTCCTTCTCTAGCACCCAGTTCCTAGTTTCCCCTTCCTAGCCCAAATGATAATCTTCCTAGCCAGTCCTGCAGTTGCATTAGAATGACTTATATTAATCTGCATATTGACCCCTTGTCACCACCACCAACACACACACACACACCACCCACACACACACACACACACACACACACACACACACACACAACCAGGTAGTTCAAATCAATACAAATAGTTTCAATGAGACTCAACTCTGGAACTTTTTTTTTTTTTAGATATTAGGAAGCAGATTTTTTTTTTTTTTTTTTTTTTTTTTTTTTTTTTTTGCCTCTGCATTTGAACTGAGAAACAGCAGTTTTAGGAGTTGCTAGTAGTCACCAGGAGCCACCAAGGGAACCCTATATCTTAAAATGGAGCCATTTTTAAGAAAGTAGAGATTTAAAAAGAAAAGAAAAACATCAATTGGGGGTATTTTCTTGAGCTACTAGATCAAGCTTTACTTAAGTATTCCCTTTGTACTTTTTGGTTATTCGGGGGCCAATGCAGTCTCTTTCTTGTTTATGTCACTTTAAGTTGGTATTCTAGTGTTTGAAACTAAAAGTATTATAACATATAAGAAAGCTTAGAACAGAAATCTCAGTAAAAATCTAGGTGTCTGGTACTCAAACATCCTCTGGGCTTTCTACTTAGGATGTGGTGGCAAAGTCCCTGGTTTTAAAATCTGGCCACGTGAGTAGGCATAACCTGGTACCATTTCAATCTGACCACTTCACCCTCAGTTTATTGCTATTGTTCCTATGAAAGAAAAGTGCTTTCTAGAACCTTAGAACAATTTCCCTTTTACTCTAAAGAGCCATTTTAACTCTAGAAAGAGAATTTAGTTGGAGTTAAAGGATGCTCCACCTAAATTCATTCTCTCTCTCTCTCTCTCTCTCTCTCTCTCTCTCTCTCTCTCTCTTCTCTCTCTCTTTCCTTTTCTTTCTGCAAGGAAATTAGTTTATCCCAAATGATATCTATGAATGGGCAGTAATCACTTAATTGAGAATAAACATGGGCCAAAAAATAATGCAATTTCTAGTAAGTAAATGAAATTATTTGCATCTGATTTACAGAGGAAGACATTAGGTAATTCTAGAGGATACAATGTCCAAAGGGCAGGGCTTTAGTTTCATTCGTGCTTATTTCTAGCACATGTTTGGGTGGCAGTCAGTGTTTATTTAACACATGTATGTAGGCCTAGGTGTATAGGAAGAAAGGATCTCAATGATTTTTTGAAGAAGACTGCTCAGGGAATGAATAATAGTAAACATACACAATGTTTTAGACATAATTAATAAATATAGATGTAAACAACTCTAACTCCAGTTTGCACACACCCACATATTGGGAAGAAACTCAACTGTGAAATTATGAAATTATGAACCTCAATGGGCACATAACTTTGTGGTTCATATTATTAACATATTTACCGTGAGAAAGTATTCTAAGGTCACTTTGGAAACGATGAACTAGGAGTTTCACTTCTGTATGGTACAAGAAGTGAAATAAGGTGATAGAGGTTATAATACAGTTAAGCAAGTGTAAACTGACTGGAGGAAAAGGAACACATTTGATATATACAACACATTAAAAAAAAACTTCAATAGGCATTTGAACTAGGGGAAATTGTGGAGCAAATTATTTAAAAAATTATTTTCAAAGTGCCTTAACAAAGGCAAAAATTGTTTAAAATATGGTTGACATGGGACTGAGGGGAATTTGTTGGCTACTGTATCAATCAGTCCAGACAGAAAACATATGGCACATTTAAATGAGGTCATTTGAAGAGTATTTTTTAAAGGAATGATATACAAATTGTGGACATGGTTTAGGAAAGCCACAGGAAATAGGGCAGTACCCAGACTTGAAATGGAAGAAGAAGGGAGATCATTGGACCAGAATGAGTCACTATGCGGAAAGAGTCATCTGACATAACCACCTGCAGTGGAGAGACATTTCCACTGCGAAGTGTCAGGGAGGGAGAATGCATGCAGAGAGAAAGCCAGAAGAATAGAAATGTCAACCTCACTCTTCTCCCTCCCTCCTGCCTGTCTCCTGCTGTTACACATCCATTAGGTTAACCTAACTGGAAGCTGAAATGCAAGGGAACCAATTGAGGCAATCTGTAGAGATAAGCGTCCTGGGGGGGTAGGAGGAGATGAGTAGATCCTGGTGAAAAAGGTTGGAGAATGGATAATGTGAGCACACAGAAGATATACCCAGGACACACATATAAAGATATTCAGGCACTACCATTTGTATTTCCATAAATATGTTTAACAGTCTGCCTTCCCTGGTGGACTGACCTTGAGCTCAGGAATTATGTCTTATTCCCAGTAACTTAGTAGAATCCCAGTGTCTAGTACAGTGTTTGTCACACAAAAGGCTCTTAAATATTTGTTGAATGAATGAGTGAGTGTTTACTTGCCTCTCTGTGGACTCTCCAGGAAGTGCCTCCATGGGAATACTTCTTCTTCTTCCATTGCAGGAGGACCATCCCTCTCTCTTGTAACAAAGTGGCACAGATATTCCTCATCAGCACAGACACCTGGGAGAGCTGGGACAGGCTGATGCTGTCCAAGAACCCAGCAATGTACTGCAAAATCTCCAAGGGCAGGCTGGTGAGAGAATTCTGGCCTTTTTCTCCAGGGCCCGAGAGATGGTTGTTCTTCCTTCCCTCATTCAGCTCGGAAGCAACCTCTGGCTTGATGGCAAAGGTCTTGAGCTCTTGACTGTAGATTAGTTTTGCCTTTTTCCCTGGGGGACGGAAATGGTTTTGAGTAAATGTACATCCTAAGTAGGCAAGGGGACACCTATGCTGGAACCAGCCATCGAGACCTGACTGAATGTCTGTGTGGACATTCTTGAAATGCAGGGGGAATTCATCCCTCCTGAAGAATTTGTTGCAGGTGAAAGTGAAGGCAGAGCTGCTCTTGTTGTGCCTCCTGGTCACACATTCACTGTGGAGTTCCACATGGAGCCCCTCTGGGTTGGGAGCGGTTAGGAGGTCAGCCAGCACTGTTCCAGAGGAAAACTGTTCTGGCTCAAAATTATATGTCTGGGTAGCAAAATCCATGAATAGCCCGTCAATGCTCCTGGATTCAGAGATGACGTGACCTTTCAGTTCTCTTTCCAAAGCACACAGGAGGGTGGTCTTGATGAGATCTGCTTTGGGCAGGTCCTCCACAGCGATCCCTAAGTCTGAAGTGTCTACTGCCTTGTGTTCACTTGGCTTACAACTCAACATGGCATCTCCAACACGCGCCCGCTTCCCACAGTAGCTCACAGGAACTTTGAAGGTATACACCGTCTTCACTTCCTGAGCCTCTAGGTTGCCGTAGACAAAGTCTTTCTCCTTAGGTGTGCAAGCAGCCATCTGACCAAAGTGGATAAGCATTCTCCCATTGTGCACCAGATACATATTGTAGTCCTTCGCATCCACCGCTGATTTCAGTCTCTCCAGAACACCATCCTGCCAAGGGGCAAGCCCTGTTGTTTCCATAGCTGTATGATAGTCCTGCTGTCTCTGGTCTTCCTGTAATTCTTTCTCTTCGGCACTGGCCTCTCCTATCATGTTATTGCTGATGGAAATCTGTTCTTTCCCTGGGCCATTAGGGCTCTTGTTCTCACAGCTCACTGATGAGTTTGTTAAAGCAGAGGCTGCATGTTCTTTGCTGAAAATATTTTCCCATTGGCTAAACTTGTCCAGGTCCATCCCTTCTTTGGTTTTGGCCAACATCTGGCGTTCTTCTTGACTCAGGTCTGCCATCTCTTCTTTAGTGGCCGACAGGGAGCTATGTGGCACTAAAGCAGCATTTGCTCCACCCACCGCCCCTCCCATTTCTTCCCAGCAGGCTTCGCCATTCATAGTAGGTTCTTCCTCAGTGGGTTCTCTAGTTTCTGGGAAAAGTTCTACCATTTTCAAAGATCTGAAAAGGACCTTCTGGTCTTGAAGGGCCAGGGCTGTATCCAAACACTCCTCACTGGGGGTCTCTTTCATGATGTTCTTATGAAGGATTGTTTCGGAGTCCACATTTGGCCAGCGGTTCCACTCCATGGAGCAGCAGACCACGCTGGCGGGACACACCTGCAGGTGCTTGGCCAGCTTGTGGCGGGACATGAAAAGGGGGCAGCCGTATTCAGAGTTGAGGCATGGAACCTGCTCCAATGGGCAGAGGAGCTCATGCTCTGCCTCTTTGCACATGTGGAAGGTGGCACCACAGGACAGGTGGCAGTTTATCACCATGCAGGAGACATTGGGCTCCACGGGAATGTGGCAGTGCCGGTTGAAGCAGCTCTCACAATGCCTATGCTGTCCCGGTGGAGGCCTGCGTGCCTTGCCCTGGAGACGCCAAAGGCCAAGGGAGAGAGAAAACAAATGACTGCTGGGAGAGAAGCTCTATGTGTGACTGTGACTGAGTTTTTAATGGACTTATTTCCTGTTTATACATGCTCCCTATAAGAATCTTGGAAAATATAGAACATCATAGAGAAAAAAGCGAAAAATCACTCATAATCCCACAACCCAGAAATAATAACTATATCGCCCTTTTCTGTATGTTCATTTTATGTATATAATAGAGGTGTTTAGAGTAGGAGGGGGGGGGGGAAGACAGTGCTAAATGCAATGACGTTCAATGTTGACAATTATTATTTTTAAGTTGTGGATTATGGTTGATTTATATTACACAGCTAATACTATGAATGCAATTTTGTATCTGCTTTTTAACTTGCTATTATAACATGAGATTAGGCTGTTTTATTAATTATTCTCTACAAACTTTCTTCATAATGGCAGTGTAAATTCCAGAATGAGAGTGCTGTCATTCATTTAACCAGCTACCACCAGTGGACATGCTGGGAGGACAGGCCCATGTCTGGTTTTGTCTACATCTGCATCCCTAGCACCTGTCACTGGGCTTGGACCATTGTAGGTACTCAATGATACACTGAATGAAGAAACTGTTAGTCACTTACATTATTGCTGGATTTTATTTTTTATTTTTAAAGGTTTACTAAAAATCTTTGCTCACAAATCTTCCTTAGCTCTCTGCTTTTCTCCTACTCCATGTCCATTTCTTCTAGGTTCTGCTCTAGCAGCCCTGGTTTGGCAAAAAAGCCAATAAAAATAATCAAGCCATAAGGACAAGAATACCAGCTGCTTAGGCTACAGGCTAAATAAAGCCAATCCTGGACCCCTAATATGTAAAGATCCAAGAAGAACTTAGTACTTACCATAGCTTCCAGATTTCTTCTTGTTTTATAACTCTAGGGGAAAATATAAAAATACAAACATGAATGGTTATCTATATTAACAGGGGCCAAAGAGACTTCTCTAATTTAATTTCGTCCATCACCCTAAAGATGTTATTGCCCCATTTTATAGTAAAGGAAATGGATGCCAGAGAAGTTAAATAGTTTGACCAAGGTAATATAGCAGCTAAGTGATGGAATCAAGTCTCAACCCAGGCCACCTAATTTATGCTTTTTCTCACTGACCCACACTGCCTCTTATGGGGCATTCTTGCCAACCATGCCGTGTGTAACTTAGGCTTCTTGTAACTTTTTCCCACTATCTATCAACAATTATCCTGACATTCCACTCCGCCACCATCCAAACCTGCTGCACATACACACATCTGGTCCAAGTTACCTTTGTAACTAGCCTTCTCTCCCACTGAGGCTTCATGTCCACTTAGAGGATTGCCTGACATCTGGCTTAGTCTGGGCAGTGCACAGGTGAAATATCTGTCATGTGTCCCTCACTGGTGTATTTAGCTGTGCTGTGGGTAGAGGAGAGCCTAACCCCTAAGGCCCCAGAAGCAGTGGGGACCGTGGCAAACAGAAGAGAAGTTGCCCTCCCTTCAGGGGAATGTAGCTTTTGGGCTCTTGTTAGTTGGTCCCAAGTGGGAATGTGTTTCTAGATCTTCTGATTTTACTAGAGAAATGAGGGGTGCAGATCTTTTTTTAAAAAATATATATTTTTTTTATTCATTTTTTTTACAGAGAGGAAGAGAGTTAGAAACATCGACGAGAGAGAATCATCGATCAGCTGCCTCTTGCACACCCCCTACTGGGGATGTGCCTGCAACCAAGGTACATGACCTTGATCGGAATCGAACCCAGGACCTTTCAGTCTGCAGGCCGACGCTCTATCCACTGAGCCAAACCGGTTTCGGCTGGGGTGCAGATTTTTGAGTGGTGGTATAGTGCAGTGGTTATGAAGCAGACAGCATGGGTTTCCATCCTGACACTAGGAGTCATAGCTGTGAGACTCTGGGAAAGTGACTTAACTTCTTTTTTCATCAGTTTCCCCATCTGAAAAGGGAGGAAAATGATAATTCCTACCTATTGTGAGGAACAAATGGATTAAATACAGTACTTGAAATGCTTAGAATAGTACATGTCCCATAGGAAGTTACCTATACGGATTTGCTATTGTAAATAATTTATATTTAATTATGTTACAAAAAAATATTACATAATATGTTAAGATAAAAATTCTTGACATTTTAAATATTGGCAACTAATTCTTCTAAAGCCTCTATTTTGGCCAAGGATAAAATGTGTATGCGGCTTATATAGATCTGTGGTTGTCTGTTTGCAACACCTGTCCTAGAGAATTAGTATCATGATTTCAGTGCTGTGTTAGTCGGGGAAAGGGTTAGCATCTGGAAGTCATGTTACTGGTGAGATGAGGAGACCTCAGTTCTTGTCTTCTTGAAGGAAAGAATTCAGTCAAGAGACAAAATATAGAAAAGCAAGCAAGATTTTACTGACCTCAGCAAAAACACACTTAGGACAGTAAAACTAGGAAGGGCATAGAAGAAGTAGCAAGAGAGCCCAGGCTGGGCTGCTTTAGCCCACTGGGAGGTCAGAGAAAAGAGGGCCCTCGAGACAGGTTCAGGGGGTTAGACTAGGATGAGCTGCTGCTGCCTATTGCTCCCCTGGTTTCAAGTCTTATGGGGTTCCTTAGAGGTCAAGGGATATGTGCCTGGGGGAAAGGTGAGTGGAAAGGGAATGGACCTCCATCTTCAGGGGTTTTAAAGGCTGGGTTTTTAGGAGAAGTCTTAGGAGCAGATCAATTGAAAATTTATTAGCTTTATGCTGATTGGTCAGCATGAGATTTATTCTCTTAATTTGTCTGTCCTTGGCAAATGCCACTTAATTTAATTTCTGTTTTCTGTCTCCCTGAGTAGGGTGATTTAAGCTATTTACCCTCTAATTGCGGATGAGAAGTAGAAACCATTTACTCTCAGTGTCCTTGGTTTAGGGAAGATAAGATTTACTTGGTGGCCGCAAACTGCTATTTAACTGTCTTAGTTTCCCTATTCCACTTGTCCTGGAATTCTCCTAGCTTCTTACTATGCTATAATAGTCAGAAGATATGCAGTATTTAAATTTTATTTTTTTAGGATTTCCCAATTCATTGTGGGTGAATTTTTATTCAACTTTAAAATTGTTTTTCAAATATATAGAAAGAATATATACAATAAACACCCAAATGTACTCCACCTATAATAGATTAAATAATTATTAACATTTGCCATGTTTGCTTCCTGTCTTTCTCTCCATACACACACAATCACACATTTTTGGCCAAAACTCTTGAAAATAAGTTGCTGATATCATTTCACTTCAGTCCCAAGAATCTCAGCATATATTTTCTAAGAATAAAGACATTTTCCTTTGTAATTGTAATAACATAATTTTACCTAAGAAAACAAAATAATTTTTAACATCATGTAACATGTTTCTCCAGATAACCCCAAAATGTTATATATATAAAATATTTGAACCAGGATTCCTTTAAGGTCAATTTATTACATTTTGTTAATATTTTTAGCCTCTTTAATCTGGGAAAGCCCCCCTCAACTTTTTTTCAGAAGAGACAGATTTAAATTTTAAGGTAATTATATTCTGATTCTTTTGGGTATTCATTTATTCATCCATTTATTCAACAAGCATTTGTTGATTACCTACTCTGAGCCAGTAAGTGAGCATAACGGTCACTTGGAATGGTGGTTAAACACTGTTGCTCATTAGAATCATATTATAGATATGCATTGTTCAGTATGGTAGAGACTAGCCACATGTAGCTATTTAAATTTAAAGTCATAAAAATTAAATAAAATTAATAATTTAGTGCCTCAGGAATACTAGCTACAGTTCAAATGCTCAATAGCCACATATGGTTAGTAGCTACTCTACTGGACAACACAGAATAGAACATTTCCATCTTCATAGAAAGTTCTATTGAACAACACTGATATAGATGCTGTCTATATCCCTGACCTGAATGAGAGGTGTGTTCTGGAATTTTATTCTTAACACATTCCCCATCTGATTATTGGGCACTGGGAGAGCTGAGTGTGAAGGAGGGATCATGCCAGAGTGCTCTATACCCCTGATAACCTGGATCAGGAGGCAGATCAGAAGTTGAAAGCCAGAACACCAACCGGGTTCAGGGCCCAGAAGAAGATACATCAAGGTGTTAAATCCAGAGAGGAGTTTAGAAGAATAAAAGGCCATGATAGTTGTACTGAGATGGAACAGAGTAAGATTGGGCAAAAGATACCTTTTGGATTCAAGAGTCCAGTTACTGGATCTTTTAACATACAATTTAATATTCAATAGGCTCCCATTATATTCCAAAACCACTCTTGGGGGGCAATGTCCATTGTGGATTTATTGTGGAAATTCACAAATATTAAGCTAAATCATCTGTAATTATTTGGTACTTAATAAGGAGTCACTTAACACTGTAATTGATGTGTCAACTCATAGTGGAGGGATGAAGTGGGAAAACCCAGAGTTAGAAACTGCTACATAGAGGATGTGAAGAAAGCTTGGATGGAGAAGACTGATGACAGTAGAAATAGGTAAGATGAAACAGATAGGAGACATTACAAGGGAAAATTAACTAACTTTTTTTTTCTGGCTGGAGATAAGGACAGAAGAGGAATCAAAGTTGATTCCAATATTTAGAACCAAGAAGAGAGAATATTGGCCATCATTCTGAGAAAAACCGAATTCTGAAGTGGAAATTGTTTTGGGAAGAAAGATGAATCCAGAAAGTTTAAAAAAATATATTTTATATGTTTTTAGTGATTTTGGAGAGAGGATGGGAGAGGGAGAAACATCAATGATGAGAGAGAATCATCAATAGTCTACTTCCTGCATGCCCCCTATGGGAATTGAGTTCACAACTTGGGCATGTGCTCTGAATAGGAACTGTGACCTCCTGGTTCATAGGTCAATGCTCAATCACTGAGTCACACTAGCCAGATAGATCCAGAAAGTTTAATTCAAGTTGCTTTGGGTGCTGACAGATCTAATGTATGGGAAGATGAGGTGTTAGAATGTAGAAATGCAGATTTGAGAATTATCCACTTAAAAATGAGAGAGGCCCTGGCCAGTATGTCTCAGTTGGTTAGAACAACAATCCCTTACAACAAAGGTGGTAGGTTCGATTCCCAGTCAGGCACATATACAGGTTGCAAGTTCAATCCGAAATGGGGCTTGTATAAAAGGCAACCAATGATGTTTCTCTCTCAATTCTCTCTCTCTCTCCCCTCCCCCCTTTATCTCTCTGTAAAAAAAGAAAAAAGAAAAAAAATAGATTTAAGGAGAGAGAAGAGAGAGAGAGAGAGAGAGAGAGAGAGAGAGAGAGAGAGAAAGACAGAGAGAGAGAAAGAGAAAGAGAGAGAGAGAGAGAGAGAGAGAGAGAGAGAGAGAGAGAGAGACAGAGAGAGAGCCATAAATGGGGAAGTAACACAAAATAGAAATCTGAGCTTTGAAGTACATAGCTAAGTGTGACAGTTTGGGGATGTTAGGAAGAAATAGAGCCAGAGAAGGAGACACCAGAGAGTTAAGAGTCAGCAGTACATGGCCCAGATATAAAAGAAAGGGTGAGCCATAGTCTCCATGCTGCCAGGAGGTTAGGAATGATGCTGACAATGCAGAGCTCTTGCCAGAGCAAATGTGGCATTTCAGCTGTGCTGTGGGACCCTTGACCATTAAAATATGGTGTTTGCTGGGAAGGGAGAGGAAAGCCATTAAGCACACACTCCAGTGTTGGCAAGTCCGGTGCCCTGGCTAGGAGAATGTGACCATCTGCTTTCTATTGATAAAATATATGAATTAATAAGGATGGAATCTGAATGAGTCAGAGTCCCCTGTCAGTTTTTAGGTGGCAAAGAAGAGGCATATCACACATGGAATAAGGTTATATGAAA